CTTATTCATGGAGACTTGGACTCAGACAATTTGAAGACAACAAACAAGAATTTTCAGGATGTGGTTGCTACATTAATGTCGTTTAAAAAAGCATGACAATATCAAGTAATCCAAAGTAATCAGATTACGTTACTCACTTTAAGTAATTTAATGGATTACGTTACAAACTACATTTTGGGGTATGTAATCTGTAATCTGTAGGGGATTACATTTTAAAAGTAACCTTCCCAACACTGGATATTTATTCAAAATCCTTTGTGCCTGTGCAAAAAAGACAATTACACCTAAATGTCTTCAACCAGATCCACCTACGTTAAGACTGGTTAAAAATGATTGAAGAAACTCATCAAATGGAACGTCTGACATACATGCTCAGGCTTCAAGATGATGTTTATGATGCAAAACGAGCTAAATGGTCTAAATATCACAGTGAGGTTTAGTTAAGTCAGCGCTGCTCCAGCTACGTACCACAATATGTAAATATGTAAAACAACAACATTCCAGGGGCACATGTATGAGTGATGTGTACATGTGTATATATTGTTACGTCCCCCTTTGCTAGGGGAGAAAACCAGGATGTTAAAGGTTTAACTAAAAATTGTGCATTTATTATTTACAGTGTAAGGGAAGACAAAAACAGGCAATTAAGGTGAAAAATAAATAGTTAAACAAAATAATCTAATAAACTAAAGAGCCCTAACTAGATACAAGGTACCAAATCTACTCAAGATGTACTGCGAACAAAAACAAAGGGGTCTCAACGAACTAAACGAGGCAAAAGCCGGCAATATAACACAAAGAGACAACCCAACATCAAACAAAAGTGGCGAGCTGGCCGCAGTGATCCAGCGGCCTCGAGCAGGCGGAAGATGGTCCCTTTTCAATCTCCCGCTATCACAGGTGTCATCCGCGGATTGGTGGAAGCGCAGGGATGAACGGCCAATCGCTGACGCGCTGCGACGCCAGCCTCCGTCCCACGTCGGGTACTCCCGCGCATCCGGGTCCAGGGCTCGCGGACCGGGAGCATCATGCGTAGACAAAAGCAATTAAAGAAGAACGGGAGCACTTTAAACAAATATCACAGGGCCGGGGCCCGTAACAATATGGGTGTATATGTACATGTGTATATATTTAATACATATTTTTCCATCTGATTGTATGTTAAATTCCTTGCAGACTGTGCCTGTTTTGTTATTGTATAAAATACTTAATAAATATTAAATGACAAAAAAAACTGAAGAAGACGTCACAGCAGCTCCGAGGCTCTAGGGGGCGACCACACACACTTTAATGAATAACTTTAAAAACATTCACTCCAAAGAAGTTAAACTCAGACAAACTCAGGCTGTGTCTCAATTCAAAGGGCTGCAGCCTCCGAAGGCTGCGAAGGCTGGGTCCTTCGTCGGCCGCGAAGGCTGCAGCCCTTGAACTGGCCTCCGCGGACCGCCAGGCCGTTGCGGAAATGGGACAGTCTAGACCTCGGAGCCGCTCCCCTGTCGCCTAGCAACCGAGGGACGCTGCTAGCGCTAATGCTAATGCTAACACGCTCCGCGCAGATTCCGCACACGGATCAGTAAAAAGAATACGCACAGGTCATCAAACTGTCGGATTTTGTGACCAAATTATTTTAATAATTCGCATCCAAATCTTATGGCCAAAACCGAAAATGTATGTTTAACTTTTGCAAAACAAAACGGCTATATTTAAGGGATACATTTTAAATAGACTAAATTATCTTAAACTTAAAACAAAACTGTGATGAGATATGTATTACTAAATATTATCATTATTAAGGATTTTTATATTGACCAGGGATTACATTTATACAGTCAGTTTGTAAAGAAAGAAAGACATCTCTCCTGAGAAAAGATGATTTATTAAACAATCCAAGGAACGTCTGGAAATACTTTATCATAATATGAAGTCAAATATTAAACCCATTACACACACACTGCATTAACAGGTTAGTACAAACAGCTGTATGTCAGTAAATCTCATTGTGTTCCCTTTTTGCTGAAGCAAGTGACAATCAAAAATGAACAAATTATCTTTGCCAGATATGATCATGTGGAATACCACAGCTTATCTGCAGTACAATAGTACATTCTTATAGTACATGTAATTAGTTACTATCAAAAGAGACACCAAATAAATGGCACATTTCACCATAAATCAAATGTCAGTACAGGCTGAAAAACATTCAGAAACACTTATGAGCAGATGTTTTCATTTCTGTCTCACACACTTGTTCAGATCATATGAGACTCTGGACCTCCTCCTCAGAGACTCTGGACATGGACATTGGAGACATGGACAGTGGAGACATGGACATTGGAGACATGGACATTGGAGACATGGACAGTGGACTTGGACCACTCAGTCTGATGTGTCTCTCGTCTTCTGGAGGAGGAAGAGCAGAATGGTTGTTGCGTCTGATTGATTCAAAGTTCTGTCCTGCAGAGTGAAAACCTGTAATGACACACACATTAAGAACACTACAAAACTATTAGAGGAAAATAAGTTTCACAGAGCATGGAGCCCCAAAGAACACCTGGACTCCCTCCGCACTATTTACATTTATTATTATTTATTTATACACAAGGAAGTGAGAAAAACAATTTCGATTCTTTATATGTTTTTCGTATGAAGAATTGACAATAAACTATTTTAACGTTGAACTTAAACTTTGATGTACATTCAGATTCAAAGGCAGTTTATATCTGAAACAGCTAAATGAATAGAGGAATCCCACACATTTGAGAAATACATATTTTCACAATTTAAATAATAATTTCAACATAAGCATGATTCATTTGCAGCTCTTTTTATTAGTACAATTTTCAATGTAACATGCCCCATACCTAATCGTTGGCAGGAGTCTGGGTCAGCACCTCCAGCTCAGTGTTGGCTTTACTTTGTCATCTGCATTTGACCCATTTTATGAATCACAAGCATCTTGTCAGCCAACAGTTCTGTGGCCCCTGCAGTGTGCCGTGTCCTCATACAGGAGGCTGCAGATGAGAAAAGAAAATTAATGTAAAACAGATTTCTCATTGTTATAACATTAGATGTGACAGACCAAACAGACAGTTGGGTCATATCTACACCAGTGTCTGCACAAATCTGTTAAACGAGCCTCATGTCCATCATAAATCTGACCTGTCCAGGCAGGATATTATATACTCTTCACTTTACAAACATGCACGGATTGTTAAAAGCAGATAATGTATTCCCTGAATGAAATGCACACGTTGGAGGCTTATATTATGTGATTTACAAGTAAATATGAGCTTTGATAGAGTCAGACTGAGTCTTTTTTCAGTTGAATGTATGAAATAATGTGTGTTTTCATCTTAACTCCGAGCTACACTGACCAACTGTTTACATGTTTACACTGTCCGTGAAAACGTGGAGTTTTCTCCTCGTTGCTTCTTTAAATCACTCTGTGTGCTTCTTTTCCCCCAACAGTAAAAACATGATGAGTGTTTGATGGAAATGTGTCCAAATATGAAAGTTTGAGCGGACTTTTCAATTTTCATCGCATTAGCTGCACATTACTAGGCAAACTTTAGCTCAAAACTCCGCGGTTCACGCAGTTAAAAACAAACTTATTTGACAGTTTTGTGGGACTTATGGTCGTATTTTACGTTTACAGTTGTGTTAGTAATGATTTCCTAAAGTTAAAAGTGTTACTCACATGTTTTTCTCCGCTCTCGGGACCGGCTTTTTGCTCCGTGTTTTCGAACATCTGACTGCCGCCGCGCGGTGCATGCTGGGATACTGAAGGCTGCGAAGGATACTCGGATGTGTCCTCCGTTCGCGGCCCCATTTCCATGGAAACGAGGCCGGTTTTAGGGCTGCATTTGAAGGCTGCATGACATAAAAATGAAATGGGACAGGCCTTCTTTCACCGGAAGTGACGTATGCGGCCTTAAAACCAGCCTTCGGAGGCTGCAGCCCTCGAATTGGGACACAGCCTCAGTCAAACTCAGGCTGTGTCCCAATTCGAGGGCTGCAGCCTCCGAAGGCTGTGAAGGCTGGGTCCTTCGTCGGCCGCGAAGGCTGCAGCCCTTGAACTGGCCTCCGCGGACCGCCAGGCCGTTGCGGAAATGGGACAGTCTAGACCTCGGAGCCGCTCCCCTGTCGCCTAGCAACCGAGGGACGCTGCTAGCGCTAATGCTAATGCTAATACGCTCCGCGCAGATTACGCACACGGATCAGTAAAAAGACGCACAGGTCATCAAACTGTCGGATTTTGTGACCAAATTATTTTAATAATTCGCATCCAAATCTTATGGCCAAAACCGAAAATGTATGTTTAACTTTTGCAAAACAAAACGGCTATATTTAAGGGATACATTTTAAATAGACTAAATTATCTTAAAATAAAAAAAACTGTGATGAGATATGCATTACTAAATATTATCATTATTAAGGATTTTTATATTGACCAGGGATTACATTTATACAGTCAGTTTGTAAAGAAAGAAAGACATCTCTCCTGAGAAAAGATGATTTATTAAACAATCCAAGGAACTTCTGGAAATACTTTATCATAATATGAAGTCAAATATTAAACCCATTACACACACACTGCATTAACAGGTTAGTACAAACAGCTGTATGTCAGTAAATCTCATTGTGTTCCCTTTTTGCTGAAGCAAGTGACAATCAAAAATGAACAAATTATCTTTGCCAGATATGATCATGTGGAATACCACAGCTTATCTGCAGTACAATAGTACATTCTTATAGTACATGTAATTAGTTACTATCAAAAGAGACACCAAATAAATGGCACATTTCGCCATAAATCAAATGTCAGTACAGGCTGAAAAACATTCAGAAAAACTTATGAGCAGATGTTTTCATTTCTGTCTCACACACTTGTTCAGATCATATGAGACTCTGGACCTGCTCCTCAGAGACTCTGGACATGGACAGTGGAGACATGGACAGTGGAGACATGGACAGTGAGACATGGACAGTGGACATGGACATGGAGACATGGACAGTGGAGACATGGACAGTGGACTTGGACCACTCAGTGTGATGTGTCTCTCGTCTTCTGGAGGAGGAAGAGCAGAATGGTTGTTGCGTCTGATTGATTCAAAGTTCTGTCCTGTAGAGTGAAAACCTGTAATGACACACACATTAAGAACACAAAAACTATTAGAGGAAAGTAAGTTTCAAAGAGCATGCAGCCCCAAAGAACACCTGGACTCCCTCCGCACTATTTACATTTTATATTATTTTATTTATACGCAAGGGAGTGAGAAAAACAATTTCGATTCTTTATATGTTTTTTGTATGAAGAATTGACAATAAACTATTTTAACGTTGAACTTAAACTTTGATGTACATTCAGATTCAAAGGCAGTTTATATCTGAAACAGCTAAATGAATAGAGGAATCCCACACATTTGAGAAATGCATATTTTCACAATTTAAATCATAATTTCAACATGAGCATGATTCATTTGCAGCTCTTATTAGTACAATTTTCAATGTAACATGCCCCATACCTAATCGTTGGCAGGAGTCTGGGTCAGCACCTCCAGCTCAGTGTTGGCTTTACTTTGTCATCTGCATTTGACCCATTTTATGAATCACAAGCATCTTGTCAGCCAACAGTTCTGTGGCCCCTGCAGTGTGTCGTGTCCTCATACAGGAGGCTGCAGATGAGAAAAGAAAATTCATGTAAAACAGATTTCTCATTGTTATAACATTAGATGTGACAGACCTAACAGACACAGTCAGGTCGTATCTACACCAGGTCGTATCTACACCAGTGTCTGCACAAATCTGTTAAACGAGCCTCATGTCCATCATAAATCTGACCTGTCCAGGCAGGATATTATATACTCTTCACTTTACAAACATGCACGGATTGTTAAAAGCAGATAATGTATTCCCTGAATGAAATGCACACGTTGGAGGCATATATTATGTGATTTATAAGTAAATATGAGCTTTTGATAGAGTCAGACTGAGTCTTTTTTCAGCTGAATGTATGAAATAATGTGTGTTTTCATCTTAACTCCGAGCTACACTGACCAACTGTTTACATGTTTACACTGTCCGTGAAAACGTGGAGTTTTCTCCTCGTAGCTTCTTTAAATCACTCTGTGAGCTTCTTTTCCCCTAACAGTAAAAACATGATGAGTGTTTGATGGAAATGTGTCCAAATATGAAAGTTTGAGTGGACTTTTCATCGCATTAGCTGCACATTACTAGGCAAACTTTAGCTCAAAACTCCGCGGTTCACGCAGTTAAAAACAAACTTATTTGACAGTTTTGTGGGACTTATGGTCGTATTTTACGTTTACAGTTGTGTTAGTAATGATTTCCTAAAGTTAAAAGTGTTACTCACATGTTTTTCTCCGCTCTCGGGACCGGCTTTTTGCTCCGTGTTTTCGAACATCTGACTGCCGCCGCGCGGTGCATGCTGGGATACTGAAGGCTGCGAAGGATACTCGGATGTGTCCTCCGTTCGCGGCCCCATTTCCATGGAAACGAGGCCGGTTTTAGGGCTGCATTTGAAGGCTGCATGACATAAAAATGAAATGGGACAGGCCTTCTTTCACCGGAAGTGACGTATGCGGCCTTAAAACCAGCCTTCGGAGGCTGCAGCCCTCGAATTGGGACACAGCCTCAGTCAAACTCAGACAAACTCAGTCAAATTCAGTCAAACTCAGACAAACTCAGTCAAACTCAGACAAACTCAGACAAACTCAGACAAACTCAGTCAAATTCAGTCAAACTCAGACAAACTCAGTCAAACTCAGACAAACTCAGACAAACTCAGTCAAATTCAGTCAAACTCAGACAAACTCAGACAAACTCAGGGGTCTTTCCCCACGGGGCCCGGCTGGGCTCAGCCCTAAGGAGTGAAGTGGGGCCGTCTTCCAGTGGCCACACACTTACCATCATCAGCACCTCTTCTGTCACAGAAATAACACACATAATCCACAGAGTCGTGTCATTTAGTGCAAAAGAAACTGATCGCATCAGCGGCGCAACGAGCGAGTTGTTTTTATCGCCGCTAACAGTTTATGCTAATTAGCCAAACGGTCTTAAGTTTCGTTTCTGTAAAACGTAAACAAATGTGATCAGAGCTGAATGATCTGATCAAACGGGCTGATGTGTCTATAGTGTTTATGGTTTATATGTTGTAAAGTTGAGTTTATTTATGCAGAAGATTTGAATGAAGAATCTGCACAGTGGATTGTGGGAGATCTCGTAGCTCCTTAGCTTCTTATGCTAAAGGAGCTCACGGTTTGTATTTTTCCTGCTTTATGAAATTGATTTAAGTTAATTTTTGCGCCTGTGCATTTGTAAGATTATGTCAAGAAACCGGGATACTCCATTTGATCATGTACACGCGGATATGAGTGTCCCGGTTTCTCAGTGAACATGTAAACACAGTAACACGAATACTGACATAACCGGGATATGGCTAATAACCGGGTTATTGATGTGCATGTATATGCACTCAATCTGTTATCACACTGGAGTCGTACAGCGCGTCGTTTCAGACAGAGGTGCACAACAACCTGGTGCACAACAACCTGGTGCACAACAACCTGGTGCACAACAACCTGGTGCACAACAACCTGGTGCACAACAGTTATCAACCATGTTTAGCCTCCTCCACCACCGTGAGTCTGTCGATCTGTCGATTACTGCCAAAATGGCGACACCTAGTGTGACGAGACGAGCAGTATGACGTCAGCTCCCGGAGCTCTACAGACATTAAAAACCTCTTTATCATTCATGACAGTCTGAGACGAGCTGATTCACACAGGAGCTTCTTCCACATTTTTCATTTTTTCTCTAATGAACAGTAAATACATGAGCTCTGTGCCGTGTTGAATCATTTTCAGGTTTGGGTTCATTCTTGTGGAGCGTCTGACTTCATTCCAGGCGTTTTTCTCCTCGTCCTCTCACTGATCGTGGAGGCGAGGCACAGTTCACCTCAAACACGTCAAACAAGTGTGAAGAAAAACATGCCCGTCAAAATAAAAACCTGAAACTTGCTGTTGTCGTTCTGGAGATTGGAACATGACAGAGACTCTCGTGTCTGGGATCTGGTTCACTGAAGTTACACGGAGCTAAACTTCTGATTTCAAGATATAAACTCACCTCAAAACACAAACTAAGGCCAGAGCAAGAACCTGTCCAAACCTGTATTCAAAAGACTTTTTTTAAACTTTTGGACTTTTATTAACGGAGGGAAAAAGAGCCGCTGATTTAGATTGAACAAAAACTGCCCCAGTCACAAAGGACGCAGACCCTTCAGCTGTTCACTTTGCTTTACAACTCGCACTTCATCTTAATGCAGGTTTGTTCTTTTCTGCACTGAACCCTTCTCTTTATCTGTTCTCATGTTTTAGTCTGAATTTCTGTTTCTTTTCTTTTTTGGGACTAAATGTAACACTTACAGGGTCGACAGGTGAGTTTTAATAACACACAGAGTCAGTCAGTGTGTGGGGACAGGAGCTTTTATTTACAGGTTGAATAAAACAAACCCTAAAGCTGGGCTGAAGGAGACAAGCTACATGTGGAAAACAAATGAGATTAACTCAAATAAACTCATAAAACGGCAGCAGCACTGAGCCTGTAAACACACTGCAGTTAATATCACAATTACACAAACACAATCACACAAGAGGATAAAGGTTAAAAGTATAACTCACCAATCTAGACGGTTAGGACTCTTTAAAATTATATTTACATAAACACAAATGAGTCTTTAACAGCGAGACTAAAATACACAAAACAGATTGATTTGGCTCAACAGAAAAAAACATGAATTAAACTCAGGACCTTATGTGTCACATGAAAAAAAAAACATTATTCGTGTGGTAGAATGAATAATGTTGTTTTTTTTTCACATTTTGTAAAGAGTAAATCTCTTTGTGCGTTTGGATTAAAACATGTTCATTAAAGACACAGTGTGGTTTATTTTGAACTCTTTACTTCTAAACCCAGAAGCAGTCACATGACCTCGATGACAAACAGACTAAAGACAGTAAAGGTGTAAAATGGAGCAACAGCGCCCCCTGCTGCTGCTGCTGTTCCTCTCAGGTGTGAGTGATTCATTCAGAGTAAAGAGTAAAGTTCAGTCAGTGTTTGTCAGGGCGTCGGACACAGAGGACACAGCCGTGTGAGTCTGGACTCTTTGGTTCAAATGGAGAAGATCTCTGCAGTGGAGGACTTTCTGACCTGTCCTGTTTGTCTGGAGACCTTTAAAGAGCCAGTGTCTCTGGGCTGTCACCACAGCTTCTGCTCCGTCTGTCTACACAACTACTGGGACCAGAACAGCACCAGGACCTGCCCCGTGTGTCGCAGGAAGTCCTCAAAAGAACATCTAGATGTGAACTTTGCTCTGAAGGAACTGACTCTGTCCTTTACACAGAAGGAGCAGGCTCCAGGAGGAGAGAGGCCTGTGGTGTGCTCCTCACACCCAGAGCAGACTCCTCTGTTCTGCCTGGACGAGAGGCGCCCTCTGTGCCCTGTGTGTGAGTTCTCTCTTCACTCGGGGCATAAGGTGGTGTCTGTGGACTCAGCTGTGAGTGAAGTGAAGGAGCAGCTGCGCTCACAGCAGCAGTCTCTGTCCCAGAGGAGAGAGCAGGCCTCACACGCACACACTCAGTGTGAGCAAATACAGGAGCTGGCTGGCACACGCGCAGGTGGAGCTCTGTGAACGCCACATCAGGGCGGAGTTTGAGCGGTTACACCGGTTCCTCCAACAGGAGGAGGAGTCTGTGCTCAGAGCTCTGAGACAGGAGCAGAGCAGACAGGCCCAGGCCATAGAAGCACAGCTACAGCAGATCAGGGAGGAGCTGTGTACTATGGAGCAGAACCTCCAGACTGTGGAAGATCTACTGCAGAGACAGAGCGTGGACTTTCTCACACAGTACAGACACACTCACAAAGACACACAGACTCTGCTCTCACAGCACAGCCCACAGCTGGGACCAGGACTCCTGATAAACCAGGCCAAAGTCCTGGCCAACGTGGCCTTCAACGCCTGGAACAAGATGAGAGCCCTGGTGAGCTACAGTCCAGTCACTCTGGACCCAAACACTGCAGGCAGACGGATCCATCTGTCTGAGGATCTGAGGGGGGTGAGATGTCAAGACACTGAACAACAGGTCCCTGAAAATCCAGAGAGATTCTGTAAATATGCCTTTGTTCTGGGCAGTGAGGGCTTCAGCTCTGGCTCTCACCAGTGGGACGTGGAGGTGGGAGATCATCTGAGATGGAACATTGGTTTGGGTAAAGAATCTGTCGACAGGAAGGGAGAGAAAAAACATTTTCCAGAAAATGGAGTCTGGTGTTTAGCTCTTAATGATGGAAAATACATTGATGGTTTTGTTGGTAAATCTCTGTCCCTGAAGAGGAGACCTCAGAGGATCCGAGTTCGACTGGACTGTGATGAAGGGAAAGTGTTTTTCTTTGACGCTGGTGACATGTCTCTGATCTGCTCTCACAAACACAGATTCACAGAGAAAATGTTTCCTTATTTCTTTGTTGGTGAATCTGGTGACGCTAAAACCAAAGAAATTTAAATATTTTCCAGTGAAGCTCAGTAAAGCATTTATAAACTGTTTTATTTTTTTTAAACATTGTTATGATATTATTTTTTATAAAACATTTGTGTGTCATAAGATAATTTTACAAACTGTAATTTACATTTTCAACCATAAAAAAACAAAAAAAAAAAAAAAAAAAAAAACAGAATGGGACATTTTATCAGAACAAAATGTGATGTAAACAGTTATTGTTGAAATAATTTATTTTAATCTAAATAGAAATGACCCTGTTCTTTTTTAAAGTGATGTTTCTGCTGCTGAATTCTTTTTAAAGAACAATTATTCTTTAAGTAGAACTGAAGTAAAAGTAGTAAAGTACTGTACTTAAGTATAAATTTGAGGTATCTGTACTTTGGATGTGGATACTTTTTACGTTCACTACGTTTGAGAGCAGGTATCTGTAATTTCTTTTTTTTTTTTCTTTTTTTTACAATTTTGAACAGAGCTGAACAGTAAAACAATTTTATTTTGTTTGTGACCTGCTGAAATTTGAGGGTTTAATTTTAGCACATTTATAAAAAGAAAAACCAAACATACAAATAAAAACAGCCACGACATTTGAATCTTAAAATTTTCCTGTAGCACATTTATTACATTTGTAGACGAGTGTTATAATCCTTTTACTTTTAGATTTTCATGTGATACTTTTACTCTTTTTCTCTTTTTACTCTTCTCTCTTGTAATAGCCTGGTGGCAACCTTGGCGGTTTGAAGAGGAACAGAGTCAAGTTGAGCCAGTTTTCTGTGCAGATCCCAGTGCATTTATTCCCAACAAGACAAAAAAACTATTTACAAAAGTTCCAAAAAATAAAACAGGCATGGCAGTACCTGCGCTCACACAGCACCTTCCCTGAACAATGTGAGGCTGGCTTATTTTAAAGGCCCTGTACTAATTGGGTGAGCCCACTTTAACGATCAGGTAAGCACCAATCATTTGTACATTTAATATCTAAAAACTAACTATCTAACAGTGCCCAAACAACATCCAAATTCATACATTACAAAAATATATATATCTTTATTTAAATTAGCAGTGTTCAAATGTTTT